GAATGAACTTTTATGGAACAAAAATGCTTAATCATGATGAAGATTAGGTGCGAAATCGGGAGAAAGTGCAGAATCGCAAACTGCTTGCAGTGTTTTTAAGAATTGCACATTCACGGTATCCATGTACACGTCGACCTATTTTCACTTAAAAAAACATCCCAGAATTGCACAAAAATGGCATTGCACACACTCTTGACTTTATCTATGTACACATCAACCTATTTTCACTTAAAAAGTCAAAGAAAATTGACAAAAATCCAATTCTTCTCACTCTTGTAAAAAGCGCCAAGCAAATAGTGGACGATTCTGCACTTTAGCAGCGAAATTGTTTCTAAGTGCTTATTAGCTAAAATTACGATCGGAATTTTCCGGAAAATGTCACATTACATGTCTCATAATCTCTCATTTCTCTGAGACAAAATAATCTGTGATTCAAACTGTGTACTTCTCAGATTATTGCTAAAGTCCTAGCTAGTAACCTTTATCGCCTTACCAAAATGTTGCCAAACTACCTGTTACCATATTCTAAAGATTAGCCTTTTTAAAATTTGTATTTTTATTCACTGGGTCAGTATTGTATGGAAATAAATAAAATTGGCAGCAAGTCTTGCACTACGATAAAAGTGGTTTTGCAGGGTTAAATATTTTCCTTCAACAATGATACAAATAAATGTCTATATCTTAAAATCCGAGTAATTTTGTTATCGTAGCACATTTTGTTGATTGTCATATTAATCAGGTGAGCAGAATAATTATGTAAAAGGCATAACGTAATTTTTCTTCAAAGTGCCAATTTAAAAATACCCCAAACTCTTCAAAATTATGAATTTGTAGATTAAGGGTTTTTCACATGATGAAAACGTTAGCTGATCTTTAGAATATGGTAACTGGTAGTTTGGCGACATTTTGGAGGCGATAAAGGTTACTACCTAGGACTTTGGTAATAATGTGAGAAATACTCAGTTCCGATTATGCATTATTTTGTGTGAGGGAAATGAGAGATCATGAGATATGTCATGTGACATTAATGGACAAATTACAGTTCTTTAATCGGAAAAGGGGGGGGGAATTTGGAAAACTGTAGTACTATATTATTTTGTATTAAGCTTCATTGTCTGTTGTGTGAAATAGTGGAAGTGTGCGTGCCACGTAATGAAGATTCTGAAGATTAGGCAAGTTAGTATTTTTAATCATTTGAGGATATTATTTTTATGCATTGTTCTAAATGTAAGGAGTAAATAAATTAATATGGTATTATTGGAAAATTGTTATTAGCAATGATTTAGTTTAAAGTAATTAGGATTGTAATCTAATTTTTATTAATTTAATGTATGTGCTTATTTATATTTTAAGTAGTGTTTTTTAATTTAATATATTTTAATTTAATGATCGTGATTTTGTGAGTTATATGTTTGTAGTATTTTGGAATACGTTGAGTATTTTCATTCATTTTCGTGAAATTTTTCTAATTTATGAGAAAAAAGCAGTGTACATGGATATAGTGAAGAGTGTGCGCAATGCCATTTTTGTGCAATTCTGGGGTGTTTTTTTAAGTAAAAATAAGTCGACGTGTACATGGTTTAGTGATATTTTAATTAAATGATAGTTATTTTGTGAATTTTATGTTTGTAGGAATTTGGTATACGTTTCAGTTGAAGTAAACGTGTATGGAAATAATTTAAATATTTGACGCTAAGTATTTGTAACCATTTGTAATGTTTGCGGTATGAATTCGTTGGTGACGTTTATAATATAATAGATAATTTAGAGGTAAAAGTTTTTGGATATTTTATTTATTTTATACATGGAAATGTTCATCCTTGGAAAGGGTATATACTTTTTCGGGATCAGGTAATTTCATATATGCACTTTTTACCGAGTTTAAAGATTCACAGAATGTTTTTGCATTTTCGTGCAAATTTTTGTAATTTATGAGAAAATAGCAGTGTAGATGGATAAAGTTAAGAGTGTGTGCAATGCTATTTTTGTGCAATTCTGGGATGTTTTTTTGAGTAAAAATAAGTCGACGTGTAAATGGTTTATGTGTAAGTGCTATTCTGAAAAACGCGCAAGGAGTTTGCGATTGTGCACTTTTTCCCAATTTTGCAGTTAATATTTGTCATGATTAAGCAGTTTTGTTACATAAAATTTCTAGCATAAGTGTAATTTGGCTAGTAGATTGTTGGAAAAAGTGTTCAGTAAATAAAAAGAAAAGAAACATGTCTTTACTTCGTGAAGACAAAATGGCGGCGAAAAAAAAAATAGAGGGTTGCTGTAGCAGAGCTGGTCGCCAAAAAATTGCCAAGTTACCATAATCCAAAGATCAACCAACATGTTTAACAAGTAAGCTCCTTTTTCCAATTTAGAAAAAAAAAAAAAAAAAAAAAAAAAAAATCGGACATTCATGATTCTTCGTTATTCTGTTATCTGGATCACATTCAGAAATGTATGAATGCACATGTGCATATATGTATGTTACAGACATCAGCAACAGAGGTTACACACAGATAAGTTTAAGAGCAGACGTTAAACACAGATACACACATATATATACATGCATAGATGAACATATACATACATACTTTTCTGAATCCAGTCCCGATAAAAGAATAGTACTAAAATTTTTTCAACTTATTTTATAACTGCTAAAAATCAAAATTTTAAGAATAACTTACTCAATTTATTACATTCAAAATGTAGATATCATTATTTACACAGTAACAAGATACTCACAAATAATTAAAACTTAATAAATCATAAAATTGTGATTCCCTTAAATATGTTTCCATGGTTGATCTTTACATTACGGTAACTTGGCGATTTTTTGGCGAAAATTTGGCGACCAACTCCCCTACAGCAACCCTCTATTTTTTTTTCCCCGCCGCCATTTTGTCTTCACGAAGTAAAGACATGTTTCTTTTCTTCTTATCTACTGAACACTTCTTCCAACAATCTACTAGCCAAATTACACTTATGCTAGAAATTTTATCAAACAAAACTGCTTAATCATGACAAATATTCACTGCAAAATTCAGAAAAGTGCACAATACCATACACCTTACGCGTTTTTTCAAAATAACACATACACATAAACCATGTACACGCCGACTTATTTTTACTTAAAAAAACATCCCAGAATTGCACAAAAATGGCATTGCGCACACTCTTCACTATATCCATGTACACTGCTTTTTTCTCATAAATTAGAAAAATTTCACGAAAATACATGACAATTTTCTCAATCTTTAAACCCGGTAAAAAGAACATATGAAATTACCTGATCGCGAAAAAGTATTTACCCTTTACAAATATGAACATTTCCACATATAAAATAAAATAAAATATCCAAAAACTTTTACCTCTAAATCATCTATTACATTATACACGTCACCAACGAATTCATACATGAAGCATTACAAATATTTTAGTATCAAATATTTAAATTATTTCCATGCACGTTTATTTCAACTTAAACAGAAAAACCAAATTCCTACAAGCATAAAATTCACAAAAATAACTATCATTTCATTAAAATATCACTGAACCATGTACACGTCGATTTATTTTTACTTAAAAAAACATCCCAGAATTGCACAAAAATGGCATTGCGCACACTCTTCACTATATCCATGTACACTGCTTTTATCTCATAAATTAAAAAAAAAAAAATTTCACGAAAATACATGACAATTTTCTCAATCTTTAAACCCGGTAAAAAGAAAAAGAAAAACATATATGAAATTACATGATCGCGAAAAAAAAAGTATTTACCCTTTACAAATATGAACATTTCCACATATAAAATAAATAAAATATCCAAAAACTTTTACCTCTAAATCATCTATTACATTATACACGTCACCAACGAATTCATACATGAAGCATTACAAATATTTATTATCAAATATTTAAATTATTTCCATGCACATTTATTTCAACTTAAACATACACCAAATTCCTACAAGTATAAAATTCACAAAATAACTATCATTTCATTAAAATATAATTAAATTCAAAAACACCACTTAAAATATACATGAGCACATACATTCAATTAATAAAAATTACCTTACAATCCTAATTACTTTAAACTAAATCATTGCTAATAACAATTTTCCAAATAATACCAAATTCCTTTCCACCTTACATTTCCAATAATGCATAAAAATAATATCCTCAAATAATTAAAAATACTAACTTACCTAATCTCCTTCAGAATCTTCATTACGTGGCGGATACACTTTTCTTCATTCTCTTTCAGAATCTTTAAAATCATACTTATCTTTCAAAGCAAGATACCAGGTAAAATAAATAACATAATAAAACATGTTTATTTCTCTCTCACACAACCTTAAAAAACATTTCTTACTATCCTTTTCAATACCACTAAATACCCATTTTGAATTCACTTTACTTACGGCCATGGGATCCAAAAATTCACAAACACTATTTCACACAACACAGAATAAAGCCAAATACAAAATTTCCAGATTTTTTCCCGATTTCCCCCTTTCCCCCCTTTTCCGATTAAAGAACCGTAATTCGTCCATTAATATCACATGACATATCCCATGATCTCGCATTTCCCCCACACAAAATAATGCGTAATTGGAACTCAGTACTGCTCACATTATTACCAAAGTCCCAGGTAGTAACCTTTATCGCCTCCAAAATGTCGCCAAACTACCAGTTACCGTAATGTAAAGATCAACTGTTTCCATCACTTTCACATTAATTTTATACTGGACTCCCATTTTTTACCTTACACAATTTCATTGCTATGCTTCCACCATGGTTCAATGTATGAAATACAAAAATAATTATCTGTTATAATATAAACTTTTATTGTATAAGCTCTGAAAATACGTAATAATATTTTTATACTATTTCTCATATTAAAAAAAAAAAATAAGTAAAAAAAAAAAAAAAAAATTAATTAACTAAAACATGTACACCTTTCAAAATATGAGCTCCTGCAATTTCTAGAAAAATATTTTAAATAAAGCACTTCAATGATTTAATAAAAATTTCATGATAACCTCTCCTCTTAATAACGCTTACACTTCATTCATGTATTTGGATATTTCATGGACAGCATTTACAAATACAGCTACATTTTCTGGATTGATATCGGGGTAAATTCCATGTCCTAGATTTGCAATGTATCTCTGTGTGCCAAACCCCTCTAACATTTCCTTTACTAAAATTTTAATTTTCTCTGGGCTGGCTTTTAAAGCACATGGATCTAAATTACCCTGGAGAGATGATTTTATAACCTTCTTCACAGCAACATCAGGCGAAATTGTCCAATCTAAACTAATAACATCATAGCCAGCGGTTATTATGTTATCTATCGCAACACAACTACCTTTCGCAAATATAATCATTGGCACAGAAGGCAGACTTTGCTCCGAAACAGCATTCTGAACGCGTAATTTGATTTCTTTTATGTAAGGCAAAGCATAAGCACTGAATAATTTGGGTCCCAAGTATTCGGCGTTTGATTCAAACAACTGCAGAAGTTGAGCTCCAGCTTTGATTTGACCGACTAAGTAATCAACAATAACATCCGTTAATATTTGAAGAAACTTATGGCTTTCTTCAGGCCACTTATACAGCCATCCTTTAGCATTCGACATTGTTTTTGAACCTCCTCCTTCTATCATGTAACACATTAATGTCCATGGTGCGCCAGCAAATCCGATAAGTGGTACTTTGCCATCTAAAGTGTGCCGAGTAAGTGTAATAGCATCGAACACATAGCCAAGTTCTTTATGCACATCACAAGGATAAGCTAATTTCGCCAAATCCCCAGGTTCTTTTAAAGGGTCCGGTAATACAGGTCCAATACCGGGTTTCATCTGAACTTCCATTCCAAGAGCTTGAGGAATAACCAGAATATCGGAAAATATTATGGCAGCATCTAAATCAAAACGTCGAACAGGTTGTAAAGTCACTTCACAAGCCAAGGATGGTGTTCGGGCAATCTCAAAAAATGAGTGTTTTTTGCGCACTTCTTGGAATTCGGGTAAGTATCGGCCTGCTTGCCGCATTATCCAAACAGGCACTTTTTCAACTTTCAGACCTCGCGCGGCCCGGAGAATTAGATCATTCTTTAAAACTGGGAAATTAATAGAATTCATTTTAATAAATATACATACGAAAGGAAAATTAAAGTCAGCTTCTGTTTGTTATCCTTATCTTGTACATAAACACTCCGAAACACTTGTACATAAACACACGACACTCAAACTACTGACAGACAGACAAAGTAGACAGATGTCTTGTTTTGCACCCGCTAAGTCTTTCTGCACCGATGGGCGAAAAATCAAGCATAGGTGCGAAGGAAAGGTATATAGAAAGAGGGGCAATTTCGTATTTGAGGAGTGTAAAAAGGAACTTCGTACATTTTTTACGAGTTCAAAAGGCCAGAAAGAAAAGATGGGACAAAATAAAATTTAAAATAAATGGCCCAAAAATAATAGAGGGGGGAAAGGGCCTAAAGAATGAAAAGGAAAAGAAGTATAAAATATCCTAAAATACGATTGTGTCCTGAGTGTAGTTAAGGAGTTCATCTGCAAAAATTAGTGTCTTTAAGAAGCAAACTTTAGCTAAGTTTAATAAAAAAAATAAATGAATGAATTCCTACATGGTAATGTGTATGCCCTTATCTTGAGACCTAATTAGAAAAGACATATATCATCACAGAGATGTACATAATATTTTAACTAAAGTAACATTAACTATTGCCGTTTCCAAAAAATTCATGTATATTTCAGAAAAACAGTAATTGACAAAATCATAAATCCATACACAGTGTGAGAGCGTATCAACAAAAATAAATTATACAGTTTATTTTTCTTAAATATTAGTTAAATATAAAATTAATTTATTAATTTAACCGTTGTAATTTATTATAGTACAAGTTTAATAAATTCCGTCACTCTGTATTTATATTTGATCATAATTCCAAGTTTGATACCTGAAAAAAAAAGGTCGGGGATCTTAGTTACAAAAATCACAATCTATACTCATCGATGGTCATGAGATCCCCATTTTTTCCCTCTCAAGAAATTCCTAAGCACGAAGAGGGGGGCCTCCGAAGGGTGTGAATTGCTGATAAGAACGGACTACTCATAAGGAATGTGGCGTCTCTACGGAATAGTTACGAAGACCATTTTACTGGCTACTATTACTAACTATTGTATAATGCTAGAATCTTATGAAAAATAATAAATAAAAAAAATTTAATTGCACTCTAATGATAGAGAAATATATATTGTATAGAGAACAGAATGTTACTTATCTGAATATTCCGTGTCAGGGCCTCTTTTGGATTTCTCATGTTGATAGTAAACAGCTAACAAAACACCTGAAGTTTCGAAGAAGCGAAGTTTCCTTTTTCAATTTGATGAATGAGACATTGCATAGGAAAGGTGCATTAAACTTTTTTAGAGAGTTGAAAATATTTACTGAAACAGTTATTTAAAAAATTTCGGAGCTATGTTTAGACACTGCCTCCAGCTTTCGTGATAGCAGCGCCAGCTTCCTCATCATCATCACACTCAAATTACTGTTTACATCAACTTAACGGTTAGACGATCTAGAGATTAGATTATACCACACAGCTTGGAAAGTTATCAATGAAAAATGCACAAATCACGCAGCTTGGAAACATGATGGATTAAATGGCTTTTAAATTTTATCTTGCATTCGCGAAAACTTCGTTATTACATAGGCAAGTAACACAACAGGAAAAGTCAATGAGATACATTCCGGGGACGTTGGAGATCAAGTGATGTGAGAACTGCCAATGTAAACAAACAAACTTGTGCTGCGGTAGATGTGTTGAAAATTCGGAAACTTTGTTTATTTTTAATTAGTTATGAAATTTGCATTTCATCTTTAATTATTATTTAATCTGTTAATTAACTGTTCATTTATTTGGTTAGTATAATTTCACATGCGTGTAACATACCTACAGCCTCATCACCAGCGCTGTCTTATTATCCTTTTGTTTCCTCATTATGCCGAGAGCTTTACAGCCAATCAAAAGTGCGAGGTATTATTAGATCACCTTTTATATGAGGCCAATAATGAAGAGTATGGTCATTATACTTTCTCAATCCAAGTATTGGCCATTGCGTTACAGCAGGTAATTTGTAATCCAATACTTCTTACTACTTACTTGTGAGGGAATTGTTAAAATTAATTATCCAAAATGTACGCTCACAAGGGAATGATCGGTTGCTGCTAGTGTCACTGTTTGACAAAATCGAATCCCATCTAAGATCTCTAGAGTCTTTAGGCTTAGCCCTGGATACTAATGTTTCCTGGTTATATCCCATGGTCGAGTCTTGTCTGTCTGCTGAGATGCTTCGAGTATGGCAGAGAAGCGTTTTGTTCAGTAAAGAAGGATCACGTCTCACAAATCTCCTGGAATTTTTGCGTAAAGAGGTCGAAGGAGAGCAGAGAGTTAAACTAGCCAGGTCTGGATTTGAAATTTCTTCTACTTCGCGCAATGAACATTCTAAAGATGTAAAAGTTAAGACCAAAAAACCAATCGCTAGCGCAGCAAGTCTAGTTGCTGCCAAAGAACAAAAATGTGTTCTTTTGCGGAAAATCTCACGAAAGCAAAGAATGTTTTACAGCTCGATCGATGAGCTTAAAGGAAAGATTAGACAAATTAAGAGAATTAAAATGCTGCCTCCGCTGTCTTAAACCAGGGCATTTTGCAAAGAAGTGTCCACAGTTTATTCAATGCTATTTGTGTAGGCGATCTCACCCTATAATTTTATGCCCGGAGGTATCAGAAAAACAATGCTGACAATAAGGAAAAACGAAACGAGTCAGTAATGCGGTACAAAGTACAATGTCCTCTCCCTTATGTATGAATGAAGTCACTCTTATGACGTTAATGGTTGAAATAGTTGTAGGCACTGTAAAGAAGGTGGTCAGGTGCCTCTTGGATTGTGGATCCCAACGATCTTACGTTTTACAATCCACAGCTGAAGCTTTAAATCTGAAAAGCACTTCCTCTGAAACTTTAACTCACGCGTTATTTGGCGGAACAAGGACAAGGACTGAGTCAAAAATTCACAAGAGATATTCTATAGGTCTAAGCCCGGTTGGGAAAAACAAAGTGTGCCAATTTAGTTTTCTGGATCAAAATACCATTTGTGGAGGCATACCACGCATACCTAAAGGACCGTTATTGAAGGAATTAAAAAGACACAGAATTTGGATTTCAGATGTCGGTGAGGGTCACCCGGAAATAGAAATCCTCATAGGGAGTGATATTTATGGGCAAATACTTACTGGTGAAGTAATTCAGCTTGAGGGTGGTTTGACAGCCATAAATACTAAACTGGGATGGACGCTGTGTGCGGGGAATCGAAAAGAACGATTATCCAAAGTTTTGAGGGTACCCCATCTATGTTAGTAACTAATCTTCTTATTCAAGACATGGAACCTTCCTTTATGTGGAAGTTAGAAACTATCGGCATTGCAGATGATGCGCAAAGCATTTCCAGGGTCGCAGAAGATCAAGCAGCGAAAGAGCAGTTTCTTAGGGGCCTTCGCAGAACCGGAGATGGTAGATATTGCGTGAGTTTACCTTGGGCTCTAAAATTCCCTCTAACTGGCATATTGCAGAAAAGAGGCTCTTTGCTACTACGAGAAAATTGAGAAAATTAAATAAATTTGATGAGTATAGTACAGTATTTAACGAATGGCTAGCGGAAGATGTCATAGAAATTGTCCCAAAATCAGTAAAGAATGACGGAGGGCATTATTTACCACACCATCCAGTAATAAAATTAGGTAGCCTCACTACCAAGATTAGGCCTGTATTCGATGCGTCGAGCAAAGTCGTTGGTTCGCTTTCGCTAAATGATTGCTTGATAAAAGGTCCAAACCTTGTAGAAAAAATCTCAGCCATTCTAATGCGGTTTAGGGAAAAGGCAATTGGTGTAACATCCGATATTAGGCGGGCCTTTTTACAGATTGAGGTAGAGCGTGAGGATCAAAATTACTTAAAGTTTTTGTGGTGGGTAAATAATAGAATTGAAGTGTTTCGTCACAAGAGGGTTGTTTTTGGGTTAACTAGTAGCCCCTATTTATTGGCAGCTGTGATTTCATTTCATTTGTCCCACGTTTCACCTGAATTCAAAGCTGTTGCGAATAAACTTGCCAAATCATTTTATGTTGACAATTGTGTCACGTCAGTCGATGATAACGAAGAGCTAAAGGTTTTTATGAGCCAGTCGTTTACTATTATGGCAGAAGCCAAAATGGATCTTCGAATGTGGACTTTTAATCAATATGGTGATCAAGAGCTAGCAGCTGAAGATAGTGATCCAGTCTCCGCAGTTCTAGGTTTGCAGTGGGACCGACGAGATGACAGCCTTACAATATCCGTCCAAAGAGAAATAGTTAAAAAGAGACTTATCAAAAAGGAGACTATGCTGTTTTTGACCCGCTAGGTTTCTTTGTGCCCGTCATATTACCTGCGAAATTAATTCTTCAAGAGGCTTGGGCAACAAAATCGACCTGGGATAAGCCATTACCGGAAGAACTTCAAACAAGATTTGAGAGATGGTACGAAAGGTTGCCTAGTCTTTCCAGCCTTAAATTACCTCGTCGCATGGGTCATGGAATTAAGGATTCATGGACTCTACACGTCTTTTGCGATGCCAGTCAAGCTGCTTATGCAACTGTCATTTACTTACGAAGTAAGGAAGAAGACAAAGTTTTCGTGAAATTCGTCATAGCAAAATCACGGGTATCGCCCTTAAAGAAAATAACTATTCCGCGTTTGGAGTTGCTAGCCTGTGTTCTAGGTGCACGCTTGGCAAGGTATACTGTTGAAACCCTGTGCTTAGTCGATGTCCCGATATATTACTGGACAGACGCTACTGTGGCTCTTAGCTGGATACAACGAGAGGAAAAAACTGGGAGTATTTGTGAATAATAGAGTAAAGGAGATTCGGAAACTCTCGAAGCAGGAATGTTGGAGACATATCCCTGGGAAATTGAATCCGGCAGATGTGGCATCTCGTGGCTGTAAGCCTGAACATTTGCGGCAATGCAATTGGTGGGAGGGCCCCGAATTTCTGAAAAGCTCTCCGAAAGAATGGCCAGACTTTGAGTTTACTCCAGACGAAAATTCTGTTGCAGCAGAAATTAAGAAGGGAGTGATTGTCAATTTGAGTATAAAATTAGAAGATTCTGAGTGGTACAAAAACGTTTTTCGAGTTTTTTCTAAAATAGTTCGAGTATTCTGCTGGGTTCTACGCTTTACTAATAAACTCCTAAAGAAGCCCTCGTATTCTTCGGATACCTTAACAGTAGAAGAAAAAAACTAACGCCGAAACATTTTTGTGGAGTTTAGAGCAAAGGAAGCACTTTCAAGAGAAAGGAGATTCCGTCCATGGATTATTGGTAGTGAGAGACAACGACGGAGTCCTCAGAGTTAAAACTAAAATCATTGAACGTGATGATGAATTCTGCTTCCTTTATCCCCTGTTGCTTCCGTCCAAGCATTACTTAACTGAATGCCTCATAAGAGAGTATCATGAAAAGAACTGTCATGCGGGAGTGCAGATATTAGCTGCTAAGTTAAGAGAGCGATACTGGATCATTTCGTCGAAACGTAATATAAGATCTTGCGTAAGTCGATGTGTAGTATGTAGGAGATTTACCGCTAAGGCTTTATCTACCCCTCCGATCCAGTTACCCCTTGACAGAATAAGAGATTCGGCAGTCTTTGAAACAACTGGAGTCGATCTTTGTGGACCTTTACTTCTGAGACCAAAGAGTAAAGCTTGGATCGTCTTGTTCACCTGCGCCGTATACCGGGCAATTCCCCTGGAGCCTGTCACCTCTCTGAGTACCGAAACGTTTCTACAGGCTCTGAGACGGTTCATTGCCAGACGAGGCCGTCCTGCGACAGTGTATTCAGATAACGGAACCAATTTTACCGGAGCAGACAATGCTCTGAGATGCCTGGATTGGAGAAAAATCACAGAAAACGAGTGTTTTCCAATAAAATGGAAATTCACCCCCCTACGGCTGCGTGGTGGGGGGGTGCTTAGTTCGTTCCACCAAGACTCTTCTCGTGCGAATTCTAGGGAGATTGTCGGTGAATTTCGAGGAGTTACTGACCGTCCTGTGTGATGTTGAATCCACATTAAACAACCGTCCTTTAACATACATCTATGATGATTCGGAAGAGCTCGTACCTCCGACACCTTCCCTGTTTTTGTAAGACATAAAACAAGTGGGGGTACCAGATCTGGATTACATCGATTTCCAGAAACTGAATGTGCGTGTAAATTACTGCAATACGTTGAGACAAGAACTGAGAAGTCGCTTCCGCAAGGAATATCTGGCTCAACTAGTGCAGAAGGCAAGCGCTTCATGTCAAAACCTAAAGGTGGGGGAGGTGTAGTCCTCATAGAACTAGACAATAAAAAACGTGTAATGTGGCCAATGGGCAAAATTGTAAAAATATTCAGTAGCAGAGATGGGGCTACCAGAGTGGTACAGGTAAAAACAAGCAGTGGATATTTGGTAAGACCAATCAAAAAACTGTATCCACTAGAAGTTTCAACTACCAGTGATCCTGTGCTAACTCTGGCAACTGAAAACAGATCTAGATACGGTAGACTCTTAAAACCAAGGACATGCTCATAGAAATAATGTACAATATAGACGTTTTGGACTTATATCCTCTTTTCTTTAGCAATGACTTTAATTAGAAGTTTATTCTTTATTGATCTCATTTTAGTATGATCTGTCATATATATTGTATGTTAACCGAGTTTCTTTTATGTGTTTTCTAAACTAATACATAGCACTGTTTTGTTTTATTCCTAATGTCAGAAAATTTTGTGCAAAGTCTGATTTTGAGAAAATCAGGGTGGGAGGATGTTGTACCTCTCACATACAGCGAGGATAAGTCTGGCAACAGCTGCAGGAAGAAAAACTTGGCAGTGTTGGAATGGCAACAGCGGATGATATTCTATAGATTTATTTTTGATTTTGAGTCGATGTTTTTTTGCGTCTTTTGCGATACTATTTGCGTTAAAAAATTTGAGTTTTGGGTGAATGAAATGGAATCCGCTGCCCCGCTGCGGATATTAGTAAAATATATTTAGAAAATTAGCTGCGTTGGAAAGGATGAAACCTTGTGTTTGGATTTGCGGTATCTTTCCTCCTAAAGTTGCGTCGAGTTCAGAATATTATGCCAGGCTTATTCACGCTGGTGCAGATAAGTTCAAATTTTGTTATTATGTTTATAGTGTATAACTTGCAAATATATGAATAGAATTCTATTAAATAAACATTTAAAATTCTGGAATGGTGTTTAAAATTTTAGATGTAGAGTATTCACATTGCTATGTCGGAGCCAGTGGCAGTCAGGTGTAAAGTAAAATTGTTTTGCTCCAAGACATAACAACAGAATTGAAATACAAGATATAACATAATAACATACACTGAGGAAGAGAGGAAGGAACAAAATATTTTTTTTTATCTATATAGAAAAACAAATTATTTAATCAGGCCAGGAAGTACGACTTAATTCGCCTACATTTTTATGGTTTTTGCCACTTCGATGAACGATCGTGTAATTGTAGGGTTGTAGTACCAGTGCCCATCTCATAAGTCGTGGATTTAGACTCACATTATTTTTGAGCCAAACTAAGGGATTATGATCGGTCATGATGAGGAATTTAGTATGCCCGTCTAAATAACATTGAAGTTTCTTTACAGCAAATATTATGACGGCGCATTCCTTTTCTGTGGTAAAGTATTATTTTTTTCAGTTTCTGTAAATTTCTTACTGAGATATAACACTGGATGTTCATTGTCTCGTTCATCTTTTTGAGCTAAAATGACACCCATACCAGAGTCCGAAAAATCAATTTGCAAAACGAATTTATTATTGAAATCAGGTGAGTGTAATAGAGGCTTTTGCAGCAGTTTTACTACTTCAACAACTCGCTCTTGTCTGTTTGAAAACTTCTCCTTGACTTGTATATCAATTTCAGAACTTGGCAATTCATCTAAAGCAGGGATGTCAAACTCATAGGTACACTTGAGCCAAACAAACAAGGTTTAACTTTAGGCGGGCCGAAAAAAAAAATCAATATTCATAGAAACGTAGATTTATTTCGAATAATACAATAATAAACATATATATATATATATATAGAAAAGAAACAGAAAAATTTAATGTTTACGTTCTGATACTTGACATCTCTTCTCTGCTATTATCTTTCCTATTTCGGGAGAAATTTTGTTTACAGTGATAACTTTCAACGTTGACCCAAGGTGAGCATCATTAATACGGTTTCTAATAGGAGACTTATTACCTTTCATGACTGAAAATAACTGCTCGCACCGATAAGTGCTACCAAACATGGAAATAATTTCATATGCGAATTTTCGAGTATTTTCAAACCTGGCTGGTAAATATTTGTAAAATTCAGGCACGCCCACTTCAATGAATTTTGCTTTCAAATTTGAGTTGCATTGAATCTCGATCACCTCCATTTGCATATGGATAGGTACTGAGTCAATACTTATTGAGAAAATCGAAGAAAAACCAAAAAACATTTGTCTTCGAGGGAACTAAAATCATTAAACCTCGTTTCAAATTCAGTTGTTAAATTTGCAATTTTTTCTGCATATTTTTGATACGAACAAGTATCATCTAAACTTGATTTATTCATGCTGCACGTCGGGAAGGGCGTCAAATCTTCATTTTTAAGTTGTTTTTCCCAAAGAACTACTTGACATTTGAATGCTTTAATTATGTCAAACATATTCGTAATGATATGATCTTTTCCTTGTAACGATAAATTTAAATCGGTTAAGTGTTTGGCTATATCAACCAAGAAAGATAATCTTGTATCCATATTGGATCGTAAAACAAACTTACGTCTTGATTTTTCGTTTTTAAAAACTGACATATTTCTTCTTTCAAATCCCAGAATTGTTTGAGAATCTTGGAGCAAGATAACTAACGTACCTTGGTATAGTAGGACAAACCCGAATATTCACTATCTAACTCACTTAAGAAAGCAGTGAATTGACGCTGATTTAAACCTCGAGATCTTATAAAATTTATAACTTTTTTTTATATATGACAAAACATTCTCCATATTTATTACTTTCGTGCATGTAACTTCTTGATGTATAATACAATGCATATGATGAATGTTTGAACCCTGAATTTCACTAAGTTTTTTTCTTAGTAATGCTACGAAGCCCTTGTTTTTCCCGGTCGTTGATGGAGCGCCATCTGTAGCTACAGAATTTAATTTTGCCAAAGGTAGATTGTATTTCTGCAGAAGTCCAAAAACACAAATAAATATACCTTCTCCTGTGGTAGTACCAGGCATCGGTATTAGTTCCAGTAAAATTCCTCAAAAATGTTAAAATTCTTGTCACAAGAACCAAGAAACACTGCTAATTGAGCTTTGCCACTAATGTCCGTGCTCTTGTCACAGGCAATGGAGAAACTTTCGAAACTAAATGATTTTGCTTTGATCTGATCACTTAAATTCGCGGCTAAATCAGTAACTCTTTCCGCAACTGTATTTCGAGACAATGAAATTGACTGAAAGCCTTCACATTTCCAGGACAAACAATTTCTTCAGCTTTCATTAGGCATTCCTTGATGAAATCACCGTCAATAAAAGGCTTCGAATGTTTAGCTATCAACTCGGACAAGACGTAGCTTGCATGTACCGCCGCTTCACATTCTTGCAATACTTTACTAAACATGGACTGTTGCTTTTTCACTCCTAACTTGAGCTCTTTCAACTTTTTATCTCTCATTAATCCTTCGTAATTGTTATATTTCGATTTGTGTTGTTCGTAATGACGTTTAATATTATATAACTTTGGTACATTAATAATATTATTACATATCAAGCAGATTATTTTATCTTTTATTTCACA